TAGATTTATACATATATATATATATATATTTGTTTATTTATATTTGTATACTTTTTTGACAGCCAGTTTCCCTGCAGTGCGATGTTACCATAAGCTCGGCGGGTGGCAAAAACACATACATGCTTGAACGCGGGGAATCTTGACATGGTGTTTTGGCACCTGAGGCTCAGAGAGAGGGATCCGCCACTTGCCAGAGGGCTTGGGATGATCCCCCCAATACTAACAGTCCGGAATGGGGATTGGAGCATCTCCTAGCATAATCCCTTTTAAGGAGTATAGGCCCCCTTGTAAGGGATTCCTTTGTAATAATGACCCCAATAAGGTACCCCGAATTTCGGAAACCTCAAATATCATGTAAGCACTGGTCATCTTTGGCATATCTCGTTGGCCTAGGAGGCTCATGTCTCCAGGCTAGGGTCATGGTGGCTCGAGGGAGGAGTGGTTCGTGAGGAGAAGCTTCTGGGATTCGGATTAAACCCTAAACCTCAACCTTCAACCTCAACCTTCAACCCTAAACCCTAAACCCTAAACCCTAAACCCTAAACCCAATGGGCCAGTAACAGCCACCCTAAGCTGGAAACCCTGGTGGCAGGCATGGATGCCCCACAATGCTTTATGGCGAGTGCAAGCGGCACAATGCCTGGGACCTGGATGTTGCTTAGGGCTTAGGGCTTAGGGCTTAGGGTTCCGGATGCAAGAAGGGTTTAGGCTTCTGTGCTCGTGGAGTTTCAGGCTTAGGGCCTGTGGGGGCTTGGCGGGTAGGGCTCCACCCTTACAGGGTTCATGTAGGGTTGAGGGTCGATTCGAGCCAATCATGTGCCCTTTTGATGTCAAAGGCCTTTGGTCCGTAATCGTACTTTCGTTGTTGAGACGGGTCCAAGACTACCTGCTGGCCCACGCGACCTCAAACGCTTTGCTCTGTTCTTGCCCATACTTCTGCCCATTCTTGTGCCCATTCTTGGACATACAGCCTTCAGCATTGCTTGCTTGAATCTCTGCTCTACTCTAGGGTTGCCTAGAGTTTCTGATAGAATCTGCAATTGCTCCCCCCCCCCCCACAAACGGCCCCACCAACGTCCCTGATGGTCGAGGTGGCGCACGGATCCAAAGATGATGCATGAGTTGCGCGAGCGGATAAAGCTCGCCGGCACGAGATGTAAATTCACGGGCTCGGGTGCAAAGGCTCCCGGAGGTTCGTTGCAGGAGTTCCCGGTTCCGGGCATTTGTGGATGGTTTGAATTTGGGGTTTAGGTTTGATAGGGGGGTTGATTCACTGTGGAGTGAAGCCCTCATTGTGGAGACAGGCTCCGTTTTCCTCACCGCTTGGCCCACTCTAACAAACAATAACAGCGTGGCAGCAAGAACGAGGCCCTGAGCTTACCCTATAAGCACCCATAACATCTTAGAATCTTGGCGCCAAACGCTAAACATATCCCGACAGGCATGGAAAATCTTCCGCACGGCTGCCGAATGTCTTCGACTGCACCGCCAGCGTGATGTAGCCTGTCAGCGCTGAACATAGACACTATATGTAAGTATACATATATATATATATATGTGTGTATATATGCATACTTAACGCGAAGCAGGTTATGTGTGTGTGTGTGTGTGTCTGTGTGTGTAGATATACATTTATCTGCCCCTTCCCACCCAAGTGCGCATTGCATAAGAAGTTCCCGGAGCCAAAGCCCGCCCCTGGAATGGCTTCTGCAACTGAAGCCCTACTTCATCCAATCGGAGGTATCAAGTTCATCTGGTGAGTAAGCGAAGTAGGTCTGCGAGGGTGGAAGGTGATCATGGTCCCACCATTGCCCATCAGGCCTTGCCACGAGAACGGAGGTCAAGTTTTGAAAGGATTTAATACATTTAGCGGACAGATTAGATTCCCTTTGTGAGGCGTTTGCCTTCGTGAGCGCTTGCCTGCCGTGCAACCTTCGTCCTGTCTGGACCGCAGAACTTAGGAATTCAAGCTGCAGCGAGGTGGAGATACCTGTCGTCAGCATCAACGGCCACTTGGGCGGTCCTTTCAGCCGGGTTATATGCACCTGCTCAACTCCAAAGCTCGGCAAAGACTCCTTATGGTTGTGCTTTATACAAACCTGGAGCTTTTGGAGCCCAGAACCATACCCTCAACCCCATGTACCCTGACTCCAAGCCCCAGGCCACATGTTGGCCATGGCCGGCCGGGTGGACTGGCTGCGTGTTTGGGCCAAGGCCCAGAACGTCAGACATGGGGGCCAGTCTCAGGAGATGACGGATGTTCCGGATTCCCGATGACGGATTGATAGAGTTTCGGCAGGAGCATGCACATACCCGAGATGTGTTTCTCCGACCGCATCGAAGATGCCCCTAGGGCCCTAGGGCCCTAGGGCCCCATACTGCTGCCCTTACCCAAAACCCATAGGTTCATAGGTGGTGCAGCCTCTGCTAACACGGCATTTCATGCCTTCTCCCTTCAGCTTGGGCCCTGTGTGACTAAACTAAAGTAAACGTGTATGTCTAGGGTGTATGTGGCATTCATGTGATCTGTAGCTGGGACCGCCTCCTTAGCGAAGGCGGTGTGGACGCCCCGAAGTCTAGCGAAGTTGTTTCCACGACCCCTCGACGAGGTCTTCTTAGTCCTCTCCTTTCTGCTTCTGCTGCTTGGCTTGCGTCTATTCTCAGCCCCTACATGATCGATGGTGTGGAAGGTCGCAGGATCAACCTCCGAAGTGTTCATTACAGATGAAAACTAATTTGGCCCGGAATTTGTGGGGCGGGGTGGGGGGGGGGGGGGGGGGCCTATCCAGACCTCAGGCCTTGAAGTGTTAGGGCTAGGGCACACACTCCCCAAAGCAATGGAAACTAAAATCTCAGGATGGGAATCACGACACATGATCTCGCCTTGCTCTCCGTCTCCAAGAAGACGTGACCTGCCTCCACGTCATCATTTTTTGTTGTCGGGTTGGAGGACTTTGGGTGCTCACCGTGTAATTTCCCACAGGGTTGTCGGATTCTTATTCAATACTCCATGAACACCCTAAATCTTGCGAACAGCTTTTTGGAACCCTCGAAGCCCTTAACGTAGAGCCCGGAGCCGGCGCAATGTCGTCAGGCAGATCATGGACTTGCGCGGTCTCCGCTGGCAGTTCCCAGTCCTGCGCCGGGCCTTTGACTCCTGGCCAGACAAAGTCAAGGACCTAAACCACTTCCCTCAGCCCTACACCCCAGAAGCATTGTCTTTTGCGGAAGTCTCCAGGTGTTTGGGTTGGGTGGCACATGGTGGCACAGAGACACCCTTAGAAGCCAGAGCCTGGAAGCCCTCAGAGGTCGTCAGATCTAAATGTATAAGGCCCCAAACTCCCTAAACCCTAAACCCTGACTCTACAGCAAGACCATGGGACAGAGTGTGCCTCGCCTGGCGTGTTCGAGCGGGTGCGATTAAACCCTTAACTTGCCCTAAACTCGAAACCCTACACCCATAAACCCTAAACCGGAGAGAGCTTGGGCTTTCCAAGAGGCAGGCTGGTCGGGCTCTGTTAAGGAATTCGTAGGTGTATCTCCGAACTCGAAAGCCCAATACCCTTACAGCCATCCTTTGTCAAGCCCCCAGTACATATTATGAGCCCTATATAAATACTAACTCCCACGAACCTTTACAACTCCCATACCTAGGCTTTGGCGACAGGGCTCTCTGGCATGAGACGGCTCCTGCGGCAGCGTCTCGGCAGTTTGGCTTTGGGCGGTTTGGGGTCGATTGGGTTCGCGCTGTTTCAGGGGCTGCACAGGCCATTAGGTACCGGGTTTGTGAGGTTTTATGAGGTTTAATGATTACTGAAGGATCAGGAAACAGGTCAAAGAGAAAGGTGTCCTTTTGCGCCCTGGGCTTGAATCAGCAGATGCCCTCTCTGCAACAACACCCCCTGACAGGACTTCCTTCCTCACTATGAGGAACAACCAGGGCCAGACTTTGGGGTTGAGTGTTTCCACTGAGGCTTCGGGTAGAGAGGTTCTTGCCTTTTTTTTGTGTTTTTGTATTCTCTAAATACTGTAGGGCTTTGGAAGACGTGCGGGCCTTCTATTCCGGCCCACAGGCTTAGGAAAAAAAAGTGGTGGAGGCTTTCGGGAGGCTCTGATATTCGTGGGTCGATCCCCTAAGAGGGGACATTGTTGTGTTTTGGGGCACCTTACAAGAACTAGTGGTGAACCGAAGAGCCGATGAGGGGGTTCCCTATCGATCAGCCCCCAAAGATCCCACTCTGAGGAGCGGGATGAAAAGCTCCAGGGCCTTAAGCCCTAAACCCGAAACCCCAAACCCTAAACCCTAAACCCTCAACCATGCAGGGGAAATGCACACCGGAAGCACTCCCAGGTTCCTGTGAGCTATAAAGCCCATTTGAAACAGGCCAGGCTCTGGGAACAAACAGACCCATTTGAAGCCTGGTAATTCTGCTCTAGCGAAGTGAATGCCATTGGCAAGTCTGCAGCGTGAATGTATCCCCGGGAAACGTATTTGCAGTGGTACTCTGTTGATGTAGGGTGAATCTGAGTCGATAGGACCTCAGCACTGCAAGACCGGGGATATAAAGCTCCGTCGCCCCCATTGTACATCATTTCCAGGATAGTGAGCCTGTCCGAGTGCGTGCATCTCCTCCTCCTACAGTAATCATTTCCTTTTCAGTCAATCCCGCTTTGCTGCATTCTGGCCTACGTGCCACTCGGACAGGTGCGCTGGGGGGGACAGGGTTCTGATCTTCGAACTTTGGGAGTCCGGGGATGGTGGCTTCGGGGGTTGGTTCCTTGTTTCCGGGGTTGTCCGTGCTTTGAGGTTTTGTGTGGTGGGCTTCGGCTGTTAGAGGGTAAGGTAAACTCCGAAGGCCATCTTGGGCTCCAGCAACGGACTAACAACCTTTTCAACCTGAATTTTTGGCGGTAACTAGGCTGACCCTTCCCCGTATACGCTTGCGAACGGGTGGGGAAAAAAAACCCTCAACCCTAAACCCTAAACCCTCAGGAGCGGGATGGGGAGCTCCAGGGCCAGAATCCTGGCGCGACTCTGTATCCTGGCTCGAGCTTCGCTGTGTTTGTCCTGTGCCTTTGCGCGACGCCCTGTAGAAGCTATAGTTTGGGATGTCCCCCTTGCACTAAGAATCCTTAATAGGGACTATAGTACCCTTCTTACAACCCCTATTCAGGAACTGTTAGTGTAAGGGGGCTCATCCCAAGCTGTGATGTAGGAACTGTTGGCTGACGGAAAGTCGGATGTGGGTTGGGTCACTGGTTGTTTCGGATCAAGTTTGCCAGTCGCCATGCCGCTGCAATTGTCCACCTCTGGACATGGCTCAGACTTGAGCGGAGCAAAGATTTAAGCTCTTCCTTTCAGCTCATGGCATCCCAGAAGTTATGTGACCAGATGTGATATGGTTGACTCGTGGCAGGGTAACCTGCATGGGCTTTTCCAAAATCGGGCTCCCCTCACCATACCCGAAATATACCTGCATCCTCATTTTGGAACCCCCCCCCCCCCCCCCCCCCCCAAAAAAAAAAAAACAAAAACAAAGAAGAAGGGTGGCCCTATTGTTGGACCCCTGATGCTAGAGCTCAACTACACCCTGAACCCTCAGAAGCCCGCGCTTGCCATGCGCCGCGCCGGTGGGGCGCTTCGGAGCCGAGGTGCGAAGTCAAGTCATTTCGGGCGAGGCATACACACAGAGGGGTTCAGGTAGGTAGCGTATTGATGCATATACACATATGTATATATATATGTGTATACTAAAAAAACTTTTATGTATGTAGGTATGTATGTAGACATAGCTAATCAGAAGAGAGAGGAACGGGTCCGCGCTCAAAAGGTTCGCCGAAATGCGTGTGGGTTCACAAGCTTTGGTCGGCAGCAGCCTCATGCCTTGGCATGCTTGGAAGTGACGTGTTGCAAGGCCTACGGAGACTTTCCCGCAGCTTCCATGTGGCTTCTCAAGTGCCCGTCATCAGATTGGGCAAGGACAGCCAGGGTCCATGTCTCGATTTTGGGCTCGTCGCAGTTTGCCATGCGTGTTGGAGCCAGAAGGGGGTGTCGGCCATTCGGCACATATCAATGTCAGTTGCCGTTGGTGCTAAGACTGCTAAGAAGACCTATGGCTGATCGAGAGCTGGAAGAACTCGACGGCCCCAGGGCGCAAAAGCCTTGAACCCCTGGAGCTGAGTCTCGAGTGGCACTTTCGGGGTTAAGGAGGGCCTGGACCCGAAGCCAACAACGAGTTGCTTGAGAAACGCTGGCAGGCAGCCGGAAGCGCCGTTCACGAAAAAAAAAAACAAACCCTCAACCCTCAACCCCAAACCCCCAAACCCCAAACCCCTGAGGAGGATGCCAGCTCAGCCGTGATCCTCCTCCACGGTCTCGGGGACACGGCGCACGGATGGGCGCTGGGAGCCTCCATGCTCTTGACCGCCTGGTAGAGAAATAATTGAGGGTATGCAGGGTGGTTTAGGTGAAAGGGTTTGGAGATATTCAGGGTCTTCAAGGTATTCAGGGTATTCAGGGTCTACGGCCAGGGATTTAGGGTTGAATGGGTGCTTCCGTTGGGCTGGCATGTGTGGGTTTTGCACGGCTATTGGGCAAGAACTGAACCGTTTCATGCGGTCCTTCTCCAAGGGGAGGGCTTTATAGACTTTAACAAAGATGATTGAAGACTTCTTGCTGGAATTACCGAATTGCAACGAAGGGAGCTGAAGTGAGTGAAGAAGAGGGCGAGTTGAATTGCCAACTTCATGAGCATGCCGATTCAGCAGCCCCTCGAGCAAACCCTAAGCCCTAAATCCCGAAGAATGCAATGTGGCCTGAGTGTCAGATAGGCGGGTGGCAAAAACAATCCCCAGAAAATGATGTTGCGGACAGCTTCCTGTGAGAGGAACACGCTTCCGAACACTTGCTTCGTGCTGCCGACCGCGCCCGTGCAGCCGGTGACCCTGAATGGTGGCATGGCAATGCCCAGCTGGTACGACATTGCGGGCCTGGAGGACGGGCGAGTCTAGCCTTCCACTAAGGCCATTAAGGGAACCCTTCGTGCGTCATACCTTCAGGCAGCCGGTGTGCGGTGCCCGACAAAAAGAGTCACGCGTACACGTTCGACGAACGAGGAACGACGCAGCAGGTCGATGTCGGAAGTGTCAGTTGCTGCAGAAGCTACAGCAGTGTTCATAGGGTTTGCGCAGCAGAAGCCAGCCTCTCTGAAGTTAGGTACGCTGCAGATACAGCTGATCTCTGGAAGAATCCAGGGTGGACTGTGTGCACATGACCATTCTGGCAGCCTTGACTCGTTGCAACTGTCAAAACGGCTGGAAAGCATGCCAAAACCGCTGAATAGCAATGGTCAACACGCGGCTCTTCATCCCATTTTTGCTGCTTCCAAGTTGCCAAGGCAGCCTGCTAGAAAAATGGTTCGCAAAGAAGTGATTTCTGATTTGTATTTCTACGATCTTAGTTCAGTTCTTTATCTTTCTTGTTCACACGGGCGAGCTGTTTTATTTGAGCACGCATTACTCCAGACCGCATCTGGGCAGGTGGCAAAAATCCCCTAATTCCCTAAACCCTAAAGCCGAAAACCCTAAACCCTAAACCCTAAACGCCAGCCAGAAGCTGCCGCAAGGACCGGGCAGATGAGACCTGCGACGGGCTGCAGGAGAGCGTTGCCACTGTGGAGGGCCTGATCCAAGAGCAGCAGCCCTTCGTTGGAAGAAATTTTCAGCTAGGGCGTAGGGTGTAGGATTTTGGGTTTGGGGTTCAGGGTTTAGGGTTTTTTGGGGTTTGCAGGAACTCGGGCTTTTGAAGCTTACGGAGGCTTATATTACATCGGTTGAGAGTCGAAAGTGCTTCTGCAGGCTTTCGCATGCAAAATCTGTAAGTCTGGGTCAGGTCCGCACGGTCTGGATGCTGTCAATTAAGTGAGCTGAGATACCAAAGACAGCGCCGAGTAAACCCTTTTCACCCACAAAGAGGTCGCGTGGCATCCTGGCTGAGCGCATCGTCATCGCCGGCTTCTCCCAAGGGGGGGCCCTCTCACTCTACACCGGCCTGTCCCGCACCTCCCGCCTTGGTGGCTAGTCTGAGATGATTATTAGTACAATAATGGATACTGATAAATCCGCCAAAATACTAATAAGCAGTAAATAGTATTCAGCATAGTGAGGAAGAAATGCTATTACAGGACAAAGCATATCACAGTGGTAACGATTAGAGTAGATCATAAGGGCAATCTAGGACAACGACAGAGAACCAAGAATGTATAGTGACGAATACATTATGTCATGGTTGATAATGTTTTAATACATACAATATCAAATGAATCAATAAACTGTCAAAAAGAATACATGTATCTATATATATATACATACACAAGCTATCTAAAATAATACATGTATATATATATATATGGACATAAAGACCAATATTTGGTGGGGACTCAGGGTTCAAGTCCTTTCACAGTGTTTGCTTTGATTGGACGGGGGGTACTTTTGCTTCAGTTCGATTTAGAGGCACACGCCAGCGAAAGCAGTACATGCTGGTTCCGGTGGGCATGAGCTAGTGCCTAGCTTTGTGTCGCAAGCCCCCCAAAAATCCCTCAACTCTAAATGCTGGCCCCAACACAAACACGTGGCCCACGCTCGGACTGTCGTCGGGTCTGAGGTGGCGTGGTCTGCATGTCGGGCTACTTGCCCTTCGCTCGCACGTTCGCGCCTTCTGCCGAAGCCCGTGCCTGGGCTGTCAGTGAGTCGTCGAGAGCTTCGGGGCTGAGGCAGGCATTTGGGCTTGCTTCGAGCTTTTGGGGTCCACACCCTGCAAACACTCCAACGTCAGCAAACATTGATTGTTTGCTGACGGTGGAGCATTTGCAGGTTGTGGACATCAACAGTCCTTGGCCTAAAGGCAACTCAACAGTTTTGCACCACCTGGGCTTTCGGGCCACCGAAGCAGCCCCAAAGCATGCCAGAGAGCCCAGAACGGGCTCTGGCTCAGGGCTGGTGAGGCGTTTGGGGCTGTTAGGGTTTGCAAGTAGCTGGAGTGCATCGGAACGAAGGAAGCACGCCGGTCCTGCACTGTCATGGCTCGGCAGATCAGGTGGGCAAGGATGCAACATTGTAGGGTTGAGAGTATCGGGAAACGGAGGCCTTTTTTTTTTCGACGCCCCCTGTGGCTTGAAGGAGCCCGGAATTTAGTCGGAATTCTTACTCAGAGTTTCCCTTAGGACCCCTTCGTGATTCTACTACAACAACCCCCCCCCCCGTGGGTGGCTTAAATAGGGTTTATTTGGAAGCTGAGAGTCGTGTTTTTGTGTGGTAGATACAAAGGAAAGGGCATAAGAAAGTAGCGAAAGGAGCTCCTCAATTCCCTTCCTTATCTCCTATCCTTTTTTCTTTATTCATTGCAACAGGAGAATGCAGGAAAAGGGCCTCCATTCCCCTCTTGTTCTTCCTTTCTTGTGTTTTTGTCATTTAAAGGGGAACAGGAGAAGAGAAGGGAGAGAGAAGGAGAGAGGAGAGATAAAAGGAACACAATTTTAATGGGAAGAGCCAAGAAAAGAATAGAAGAGAGATGAACAAAGAAGATGGAGAGACAAAACAAGGCGCAAAGAAGATGGCACTCTTCTTTATCTATCCTCTCTCCCTTCTCTCTCCCTTCCCTCTTTCTTTTCGAAACAGAAAAACTAAAAAGGAAGAACTTGAAAAGGAGAAGGGTAATGAAAAGAGCAGAAGAGACAGGCCGAAAAGAGGGATATGATGAAGTATGGGCAAGGTCCACGCGCAAGGAGTCACCCTCTGCTTACCCTTCCACTGCTTTATCATACAAGTTCCTTTCTTGTGTTTTATTAGTTAAAAGGTAACAGAAGGAGAGAAGGGCAAGGGAAGTGAGAGAGGAGAGACAACAAGGAGGCCATTTGAATTTTCTGGAGGGGTACTGAAAAGAAGAGAAGACACAAGAAACAAGGAGACGGATAGCACTCTTCTTTATCTATCATCTCTCCCTTCCTTGTCTCTCGCTTTTCCCTCTATAATTAAAACAA